TACTTCATGACTGTAATTTTGCTAGTTATGAATCAGGCGACCCCTGTGAAAGGGTCATTCAACCCCCAAAGGGGTCGAGACCCGCAGGCTGAGAACCGCTGAGTTAGTGTCTGAAACCAACAGGGGTCGCTGTGAGTCAGCATTGGCTCCCAGGCAGTGAGTTTGGTTGGTTTGGAAGAACAGTTGTAGGGTGGTGACTATGTTCATCCCCCTCCCTGCTTGTGAAGTGAGGGAAGGTCAGACACACCCCTGGTGCGAGTCCGGCTGGACTAGAGAAACAAAGCCACAGACACTCATGTGTATAAGAAAGAGCTTCATCTACAAGAGCAGTTGTACATTGAGCCCAGTCCAGATCACGTCCATAAGTCCAATATTAGCCCAAATGTCCGATACTAGTCCATAAATTCCTCCTTAGACTCAACTCAACACATGCAATGATGCCGAATGCAAGAAGATCACATGCCAGTGGGTAGAAGAAGGTCTTATGGATCCAGTGGCAGTGGAAGAATCTCAATGCTGGTGTGGGTCTGCACGTGTCTCCTCCAGCTTTCTGTTAGTGTCTCAACAGCAGGAAAGGGAAGGCAGAGAATCTGTGTCCCGCCTCCAGGGAGTTCTCAGACTCCTCAGGAGAAGGCCCTGCCCACACAGAGGCACCTTTGGCTATGCCCATCTTTGGCTGATTGACAGGCTAGACTCCACCACATTACTCAAGAGATTATGTAACAGGAGTTTGTTATAGAAAATTATGTAACTGCCATGCCCCCACACCATTTTTTGCCCCAGCCAACTTTCACTTGATTTTCACTGAACTTGAGAACCTGGATATGGCATGTCCACTTGCATGCCAACCATTAAGACTGTCTATAATTAGGCTTTTTTTGCCGGAATCTTGTTAAGCCCCTTGTCCATTTTGAGGGTAGGTATAATCCTTCCAGATAGCAACAACTGTAACTCCACTTTTCTGGGTCTATTAAAATGCTGGGACACTGAAAAACAAACACATCACAGAATGCTCAAGGAAAAAAAATACACAAAAACCCTTCTTGGCCCTCACTGGCCCAATTCTGACCTGCTTCACCTGGCTCCGGAATGTCTGACAGAGGCCTGGGGAGGCACCAGGGCACGTGGGGCGGATTGAAGTATTTTAAAAGCTTGCTTGCTTTTATCTTCATTTAGATAAAAAACCCACATCTTAGTTCTGTTTTCTGTCATTTCCTCTGTGGTCATCGTGGTCCAGGCGAGCCCCTAGACACAGACTTGCTGGGTCGAAGGGCGTGCACTTTAGACGATGCCCCAACTGTTCTTCCAAGGGCTTCCCCCAAGTTACAGTCCCAGTTACGTCATCACATTTTTACGAAACTTGTTACTGTTTGTTGACTTGTGTATTGTATACTTTCATTTTCACCAGTCAATGGGTGTGAAATGGCATATGACAATTAATTGTTTGTCATTCCCCTAATTACTAGCGAAGCTGAGCATTTTAAAAGGTTGATTGACCATTATGTTTTCCCCATAGTTGAATGGCTTGCTTATTCACCTTGTTGATTTTTCAACTGGGCTATTTGTTTGCCTTTTCCATATTGATTTATGTAGTGGCATCTACTCCCCCCTCCCCACTAATTTCTGTTCTTTATTGCTTCTGAGTCTTTACAATATTTGAGTTCCTGAACTACTATAATCTTTGGGTTTACACTATTGTTCAGTTTCTAAATTTTTAGGTGGAATGTTTACTCATTTTAAATCTTCCTTAGTTTCTAATATAGCCTATGTATTTAAGGTTATAAATGTCTCTCGGTATTTTAGCTGAATTTTAAAATGAAGCTCACTGCTTTTGATCTATAGTTTTTAACTGCCTCAGTTCTAAATACATTATCATTTCCATTATGTCTTCTATT